TCGAAGTCAAATAAATTCAACATTTCACTTAAAGCTGGTTTGTTTTTGATCAATTCACGACGCCGCTTTTCCTCCTCGGTTTCCACTTCAGCAGTTTTGATCACAGTAGCTGGATCAACCTCGCCGAGGCAAGCCTCGGGGGGCAAGTGCGTTTTAATTATATCTTGTGGATGGACTGGATCGAAGGCAGCTGTCGCGTCCTTACCGGCCTGATTAAGGATCACCTTCACGCCACCAGGGTGTTCCGGAAGAAAGTTAGTTACATCATATACTTTTCCATGTATAATAACCCAACAATCCTGGCGTGTATTATGTTTAGCAACTTCTTCAGCTGATATGAGAGTCATATTACTCGGCGATTGGTATCATAGAAGGGAAAGATACACATTTATATACGTGCACTTTATGATAACGATAATTTTTTAATCTGCCTATTTGTTACACGAACATCTGAAACTGCATTTTAATTATTTGTCACACCCCTTAGAATTTAGGGTTAGCGCTGCCAAAATTATGCTTAACACCAGCCGGGTTTTTATTGGGTGTAAAAAACAGTATAGTACGGTTTACTAACCCGGTCAGTCGTACCATACTGATCTTCGTAACACCACGTACCATTTCGTCATAAACGTACCATAATCGTACCATTTCGTCATTTAGATGTGAGTTTATTAAACCGTACTATGCTGTTTTGCTTAATTTTCACACCCCATAAAAACCCGGCTGGTGTTAAGCATAATTTTGGGCAGCGCTAACCTTAAATTCTAAAGGGTGTGATAAATAATCAAATAGTATATAAAATCACATCTATACCATACTGTTCTGGTCATCTATACAATACAGATATTCGTTTTACCTTACGCGCTTGCGTATCAATATCAGATATCGGTATATGAAAAAAAACCACATGATATACTTAGCAATCACACAATCAAGAATCTGTTGATTTTCGGATTTCGGATAATTAAATCGAATTATCCGGTGTTTTACGACTGTTTGAACTCATGCACAGTTTAGCCACAGTCGTAATGTTTTAAGTGGAAACGGAGGAGGAAAAGCGGCGTCGTGAATTGATCAAAAACAAACCAGCTTTAAGTGAAATGTTGAATTTATTTGACTTCGA